GGGGTAGTCTAAAATCCTTATATCTAAGGGAAGGCAGTTGTATAAATGTTTGCATTGGTACTGTACTCCTTCTTGTGATTTTGAGTCTGCATAGATCAGTACGGATATTGTTTTTTTTTCTTGTGTGATGAGTATGTACGTCAATTTGTTGTGTGTAAAGAGATATATTTCGTTTAGCATAGCACAGGGCTTCAAGAATATAAATACAAGGAAGTGTTAAGATTCTGAGATCGATAAATGCTTGACGACAATCGTCTCTATAACCTAAAGATGCCAGAACACGAACAGCTCTACGTTGTAGTTTGAACAAGCATTGCCAATGAGAACTGTGTCCCCAAGCGAGGATGGCATATGAGAGAGAACTATGCACAAAACCAAAATATGCTGCTTTGATGGTATTTAAAGATGTGCAGTTGCGCAACCGAGTAAGTAAAAATATCGACGTGTTCAATTTTTTGGACAAATTATCGCAGTGATATTTGAAGTCTAATTTGCTGTCAATCACACAACCCAGAAATGTGAAATGAGCACCATTAGAGACGATATTATCTTTTCTTAAAGATAAAGGCAAGATAGTAGTCTTAGCAGGATTTAGTTTCAAAGTATTATCAGTGCACCATCGAGAAATAAGTTTGATGCCGTCTTGAATGTTGGCATAAGCCGAATCATAACACATACTACTCGATATTAGTGTAGCGTCATCTGCGTACAAAATACATTGCGTCTGCGGTGGCAAATGGGACGGTAGATCGTTAACATAAATTAAAAACAGCAAGGGTCCAAGGATAGAGCCTTGCGGTACGCCGTATTTGATGTGTAATTTGTTAGATACTGCATTGTTAAAGAGGACACATTGATACCTATTAGACAAAAATGAAGACACTAATGACAAACTCCGTTTACTAAAGTGATACACCTCACTAAGCTTGCGGACTAAAGTATCATGGCATACACAATCAAAAGCCTTAGTGAGATCAACAAAAGCAGCTATCATGTGTTGCTTATTTTTTTTTTTTTTATATTGGGTCAACAGTAAAGAAGATGTCCGGCGATGGTGTCAAAAATGTGAGTTATGTGCTACTGGAAACGGACCAGTTTCCAAGAAGAAGGCACCCATGAGGCAGTATAACGTTGGTAGTCCGATGGAACGAGTTGCTATCGATATCGCAGGACCGTTTCCCGAGACAGATGGCGGAAATAAATATATCCTAGTCGCTATGGATTATTTCACAAAGTGGACTGAAGCTTACGCCATTCCAAACCAAGAGGCAGCAACAGTTGCAGAAGTGTTGGTAAAGGAGTTCTTTACACGTTTTGGTGTTCCTATAGAAATCCATTCAGACCAAGGAAGGAACTTTGAATCGGCTTTGTTCCAAGATGTTTGTCGATTGGTAGGAGCCAATAAAACCAGAACAACACCTTTGCATCCTCAGTCAGATGGAATGGTGGAGAGAATGAATCGAACGATGGGTAAATATCTTTCAAAAGTCGTGGCAGAACATCAGAAAAATTTGGACCAGTACCTCCACCTGTTCCTTATGGCATATCGATCAGCCGTCAACGAGACCACGGGTCAGACTCCTGCCTGCCTTATGTTGGGTCGTGAACTACGCCTTCCATGTGACCTCGAGTTTGGGCGTAAACCCCATGAAGAATATGTCGCAGGTGAAAATTATGTTGACCAACTAAAGGCGAAGATGAACGATATTCACGACTTGGCTAGAAGTCATATTCAGATTGCCAGCGATCGCATGAAAAATCAATACAACCTCCGCTCGGTCAATGAAACTTTTGAAGCTGAAGATCTGGTATGGCTGCACAATCCACAGAGACGAAGGGGTCTTTCTCCCAAGCTACAAAGACAATGGGAAGGTCCATATGAGGTGATCAAGAAAATAAATGACGTGATATATCGTATCAGAATGAACCACCGGAAACCGAAAGTTGTCCACATTAATCGACTCGCACGATATGCCGGATCCAACAACAACGAAGAAGTTAGAGGTATTCGAGAAGAGGAACGCAGCTTTGGGATCGAGCCAAACTTTAACGATTTTATGTCAAATTACGCCCAGCGGAAGAAAGCTCGATTTGGCGTTACTCAGGAAATTTGTCAAAATATTTTTGAGCTTCCGGTTAACGTTTCCATCGCCCATTGTGTCGCCGAAGACCTTCGCATGGGTAGAGGTATAGCTTCCGTATTCCGGAAAAGATTTGGAAGAATAGACGAGTTGATAAAGCAAAGACCACGAGTGGGTAAAGTACTGCGCTTGGAAGATAGTCAACGCTCTTTGTTCTACTTGGTTTCAAAGAAAACGTCAGAAGGCAAACCCACCTATGAAAACCTCTGGTCTGCTTTAAAAAGCTTAAAGAAACTCATGGCATACTATGACATAAATAGCTTGGCGATCCCGAAGATTGGATGTGGTTTAGATGGGTTGGACTGGAAGATAGTGCGAACCATGATCGAAGTGATTTTTAGAAACACTAGCGTTCGAATTACAGTATGCTGCTTCAACCCACAGGGGACGACCCTCCGCAAAACTGTGGACTGTTACTTTTTCAAGAAAGGTGTTTGTCGAGCAGGCTCTGACTGCAGATTCCGACACGAGGCATTAAAAAGTAATACTAACGCAGTTTCTGAACGAGACGTCCAGAATTAAGAAGGGGGCAGTGTAACGGAAATGCTGCAGACATGACGTCGCCTTTGGCGTTCTGGAATTTTCTACGCGTATTCGAGAATGTACTGGACTTACATTGCTTGCGTGTATAAAGGGTTGCGGACCGAACATCGCGGCAGTCTACTACGGAACGAGTACGTATGAAACATTGAGCGCGAAAATCTGAAATAAATTACGAAGTGTGTGTGATATAATAATCGATATAAATTGTACGGTTTTTATTTTATAGTGTTTTAGTTTTGTTTAATAAATATTGATATAAATCGAACCCGAATTTATAAATAACGTTACAATATGTTATAATTATAAAAAAGGAAGCTTATATAGCTTAGTGAACAATTTAAAATAAAAAAGGAGTTTCTGTTCGAAAAAATTGAGATATGGTCGTATCAAGTTTTTGGTTTTGCAAACACCCTGTAAAATATTGTCAAAGGTGCTTAAACGACGTGTAAGTATTTCAAAATTAAGAAAATATATTTTTTGTTGACACGTGTAACAAAAGTGATTTTTTGAAAAAATTAACAAAAAGTACAATCCATTAGGTATTGTAAAATATAGTGGACCATTAAAAATAACAAAGTTGTGTCTCATATTATATTTTATAGAGCACCCTGTACATACAAAAATATTTTTGCGTTGTGCACATTACACCAAGAAACACAAAATTGTATTTTCACTTTTTTGTAGGATCACCCTCCAAAATATTCGGTACCAATCAAGTCTGCTGCTGGTGCCTTAAGAATTCTGCTACAGATTCAATTTGAATTCATCTTTTTTAACCGCCATTTTAAATCCATTGAGACTACACAAGGTGCGTTCGATTTTCCGTTTCAGGAGTAAGCAGAGCAGATGGTGTAAAAGTCACGTGATCACTGGAGCAAATTTATAACTGTACAATAAACGAAGGGCATGAAGTGGATGGAGCGTCAACATAACCTCTAAAGTTTGTACAGCTTATGCTCAAACATGTGGAGTAGTAATGGATAAGAACAGAAAAACCTGCATGAGGGTGCAAATTTGTTATTTTTCGGCAGTACTAAATCATGTGAATATGTTGAAATATTCATTCCAGACGCAAATCACGTCCAAATTAAATGAAAAACAAATCACAAACCAAAACAGTCAATCAAAGACGACACAAAGGCGGAGAAGGCCGGCCCGTGTGGCGCATCAAAGACGACACAAGAGCAGCCTTGGCTGAAAGCCCACTCAAAAATAAAGGCAAAATAAATAAAAATAAAATAAATAATTTTTATGTTAAAATAAATATGACCACGTGATCATGTTTATTGCGCTCCGTCTGCACGCATGAGAAGGAGTATTTGGAGTTTTATTCTTATTATTTTTATTCTATTTTGTAATAAAAAAAACGATACTGTGTCAATACCTTTTCTGGTGCGCTAATAAGCGAACGCTTTAGGGCAAAAAGAGTGATTAGAACGCATAAACGAATCCACACATACTTTCCTGCAAAATGGAAAGTTTGTCCGATAGGTATTCTTGCACAATACAGGTACGGGGGTGCGCCATCCTGTTGAAACCAACAGTTTTCAACTTTTGTTTTTTTTATGTGCCGTACATCATTGTATTCGTAATAAAAAAAATTCTACCCAATACAGTATGTATTTTGCTACAGGATATATAAAAAATAATTTTCCAAAACAAATGTTTTATTATAAAACTCCCAAGGTTGTCCTGTAGAGCTCAAAACGTGGCAATCAGAAGAAAATGTTGTTTATTTTTCTGCATATGGTTAAATGAAATCAGAAAAAAATAAAAACAAAATCGGCAAATATCGGTTTTTCTAGCATATCTTCGGAAGTAATCGCAATTTTTTAGTTCTTTTATAGTATGATAATAACTGTTTCATTGTGCAACTTTTCACCGTCGGTGTATCTTCCATGGTTCCCCATCCTTAGCTTGGGCACAGTGTATATAATTCTTTACCTCTGGATTTTAAGTGTGTAATAAAAACGTTAAAAAATCAAGTACGTAAATTGCTACTAACTACTAAATAATAATTTGTGATTATTATTATGTTCCCATGTTCATTTTATATTCCGACTTACTTTAAAGTGTGTGTGAATAATAATATGTAAATATTGATAATTGGTTACATGGAGGAGCAGGTAAGGAACACCAGAACTTCAAATTTATATTGTATTGTTAACCCTTGTATCGTGTTAAAACTTAATGAGAGCACCAAATCTAGAAAAAGTGTAACAGCACAGTAGGGAATAGGATACAAGGAAAAGGACCTCCCAAGGAAGTTATTATTTAAAAACCCCTACATAAAATTTCGGTCCCACTGTTACTTACGTTCTCCCTGGGCATTTATTTCTCTGCGCATCTGAAATTTAATAATTCTATCAGTGCATAGTTATGTTAACAGACAGAAAATTAAAATATTTATTTTGTAGTAATATCTGTTGCTTTGAGACATTGTTGAAATGATAAAAGCCACACTTAACATGCAGGCAGAGACATAAATATTGTATGCCTTATACGTCCATATTCGGGAGGATAGTACACAAGGTAAACACAGTTGATAACTGTCTTTTTCTCGTGTCTTCTTGATCACTGCCCTTTATTTCTAGAGAGATTGTCTTAATAGGTTATGAGTTCCAGCTTACGCAAGATTTGAGTCAAGCAGTAAAAAGGAGAAGAGAAAGTTTCTGTTGGCGAAAATAGTCGCAGTGTGTTATACAGTCTTGTCCTTGCAGCGTTTTATATCCAAAATTTAGATGGCATACCACATGAAATCCTTGGCGGGAAAGGCGGACTTGTCCATTTGGAAGCGAAAAATTGAACTATCATGAAAGTGCCCTTGACAGTTAGTTATAGAAGAGCAAAAAAAAGAGTACAAAAAAGGAGAACGACTAATTCCATGAGGCAAATACTTATGCACAATCTATAATTTTTCCATTCAGTGACTAACAAAGTATATGAGAATTATGGATAAAGAAACATCGCATAAGGCATGGGAGGTGTTAAAGTTTTGAGGCATTCACAGATCAACTTTTTCAAGATTTGTAGGATTATTTCAGGCAAGCAGTCGATTGCGGATGGAAGACCGTCGAAGAATGGGCTTGAAAGCAACGTCTTATAAACAAGTATAGCCATGTGTGTCATTAATGAAAATGTTTTTCAAATAACAAGTTCATCAAGATGGTGAATTGAAAATGGTGCCATTGTTAAGGTATTTGAAAATTCCTGCTTTCCTTAACACCTTGATTTAGTTTTAAATATTGTAAAATTAGGTAGTAATGAAAAAATAGTGAGTTGTTTTTCGTTGCCATGAAGAATTAGTTGTAGTAACACAAAATCGCTGATAGAATCGGTTTCATTTTGGTCATTACTTTTTCATATTTTTGCTCACGTGTGTTCATTAAAGTGTTTTCTACTTTCCTTGACTTTCGCTTCTTAAAAGAACTCCAACAGGTTATGGGCCCAGCGAAGTCGTATTAGGAAAGTCAGTGTAATCAGTTTTACGTACCTGGAACAACTATGTCAAAAATGATGGATAGTAAAGTAGACATCGACCTCATTAATAAGTTGGATGGAAGAAATTACCAACAGTGGAAATTTCAAATAAAGTGTGCTCTAAGCAAAAGGAGTTTTCGAGGTAGTGAACGGCGAGTGCGAATAACCAAGTGGTGCTGGAGGTGAACGAACAGCGAAAGAAGTTGAAGCATGGAACAAGAAAGATGCCATTGCAATGTGTATTCTGACGTCTGCCATGGAACTTTCGCCAATTAATTTAATTGAAAATTGTGGAAGTGCTAAAGATATTATTAGCAAAATGGACACAATTTACCAGCAAATCACGGAATCGAATAAGATGATGCATCAGGAAAAGTTTCACCAGTACAAAATTGATCCATCTGATTCAATTGCGTTGCATATTGCCAAGGTGGAAAATCTTGCTAAGCAAGTTTGGAACTTGGGAGACACCGTAAGTGATATAGCCATTTTGACAAAGATTTTGGGAAGCTTACCTCTAAAATACAAAAATGGGCGGCAAGCTTGGTTATCGGTCAATGAGAAAAACCAAAATATACACAATCTTACCATGAGATGTTTGGAGGAAGAGGCTAGTATCGCAACGAGGAATTAGAAAACGAACAAGCGCTGGCTATGACGCGAGCTACCAAATCAATGCAGAACAAGAAGAATAGGCTTCCTGTTACATGTTACAACTGCCAGAAGAGGGGCCATTATGCGAGAGAATGTCGAAATAAGAAGCAAGAATGAGCAGAAAAACACTGCAGAAAAAGAAAACGGACGGGAAGAAAATGTAAGGGCTTTAACAACAGAGAAGAAAACAGTTGCATTAACAAGTGACGCATTAGCGATACCAAAGGATGATGTTTGTCGCATATGACATACCACAAAGATTAGTTTTCATCTTTGGAGGACATTGGTCATATAAAATCGGTGACACTTGGTGACAATAAATGTCTCAAAGTGTCAGGTAAAGGAATAATCAAAATCCGCAAACTGATACACAATGGCCCGTATGAATAAAAGTAAGCAAATGCTTATACTTGGAAAATTCAAAGTAAATACTTGTAAGTGCTCCTTCGCACTGGGCGACTTAGCAGCGCTGCTAAGCAGAAGGACAGGACGCAGTGCAGCGCTGCTAAACAAACCAGTATAAAGGGGCACACACCAGTATTTACTTTGAATTTTGTAAGTGTAAGCATTTGCTTATTTTTATTCATACGGGCCAATAAGTGGTATGACGCTATTTTAACAAATGTGTTGTATGTACCAGATTTACAGAAAAATCTCTTTTCTGAAGGTGTCATTACCAGTAAAGGCGCTATTATATTAATATTATTTGTTCCATCCCTTAAGTATTTTGGTAACCACTTCCTTATCAATTCTTTGTAACTACTACTTGCTTGTGCGATCTCTATCTTCACCCTCTTTGATGTCCAGAGTGGTCCAAGTTCGACGCTTTCTTATGGAAACTCCCTTTATTTTAAGAGAAAAAAATGAACCTAGGTGTCTGGAGCTCAATTTTAAAGAGATAATCACTGGCACAAACAGAATTTTGTCGTTTGGCCGCTAAGGGGCGTTTCTCAAATTTAGTCGATTTCTTTAGTACCCCATAACTTTCTTATTATCAAAGATAAGCTGGGCAAAATCTTTCTTAGAGCACTTTTTTATGTAGAATCCATCGCGAGACACAGTTTTTATACATGGTGTTTGGTTTTTCTTATACGAACCTAAACTACATTTTTTATATGGACCATGCTATGTATTTGGGAGTGTTTGAAAAGAGTGTAAAATTTCCTAAATTTTGATGTATCGCCTATTATATTTATATTAAATATTACCTATTTCTAATATTGCATTTTATACATTAAAATATTTTTAATGCAGACAACTACGTTTCCATTGTGAACAAAAGACAGCAGGATTGTTTAAAACGCTCTCATCAATAAAACGCTTGACTCTTTTGAATATGCCTCGAGCTGCATTCTCTTGGAAAAATTAAGTATATTTTACAAGTTTGATAGCCTCAGCATATCACTTATTAAATCTTACTTACATAATCGATCACAATACGTCCTACACAATAACCACAGATCTGAAAACCTTCCTGTAAGAAGCGGAGTACCACAAGGATCGATACTGGGACCTCTTCTTTTCTTGGTATATATTAACGATTTATCATTTAATATCAACAACAGTATCAATTGCATTCTCTATGCCGACGACACTACACTTCTTAATTCACATTTTGACATAAGCGCGGGAATTAACCAATTACACCACGCCATCAATGATATCGAACAGTGGTGTGAAACTAACAAAAATTCAAATATTATAATATTTGTAGCTGAAGACTAGCTCTTTTGAACTAACCCGAGTTTGTTTAAATCGGCTCAGCCGTTTCGAAGATACAAGGTGTTCTTTACGGAAACCTTTGAATACCCCACACCACTTCATTTTTAGAGATACAGGAAAAATGGTCAAACAAAAAAGGTTCAGATTATCATCGATTTCAAAGACCGGACATTTTTTGTTAGGTTAATATAGCGGAATTCACAGAAACATCACCTTTTTAGATTCCAGATTGCAGTTACGCCCCCTAGCGACCATTTCAGAAACTTAAAAATATTTTCCAGGTTTTTCTCGTGACCTTTTTAGTATTAATTTTTTTTTACTGCAAGCCTCTACGATGGATAGATTCCCGGATGCAGTACCTCGCACTTTTAGTTGGCCCCCAATGTACATTTAACATGAATAAATTATTATTATTTTTAAAGACATGATTAGATTATACACTTGTCTCTTACTATACTATTTTTCATTGTTGACGTTTTCGCGCACGTTGATAAGAGCAACGTTATTTATTAATTAACAGTTTAAAAATCTAGTACTTCGTGCTTCGAAATTCGTCAGAAAATGACAGGTTTTTTTGTCAGTTGTAACAAAACTCATTTTTAGCGCATTTTCCAACACAATTGGGTTGTAGTTGCAATACTAACTTTCTTATTTATGGAGATATTTATTTGAAATTTTAACCAAAGATGCTTTTAATAAAAGCAAATATCACATATTGTAAACATCAGATTAATATCTGATATCAACTGTCTTATTGATCGAGGCATCTTTTTGAAATTTTAATCACAGATGCTTCTGTTAAGTTAAAGGCAAATACATTTCATATGGTAAACATTAGATATGCGCATGTGCATTCTACGCATTGCCAACTTCTTTATTTATGAAGATATTTCTTTGAAATTTTAACCATAGAACACATGTAGTAAAAAATAAATGTCATTAGCCAAGGTAAACACATCGCACATAATAAAAATCAAATGCGCGCACGCGCAAAATGTAAAATTCCAACTTTTCAACGTATTTTTCTCAAAGTGAAAAATCGTTATTTGCTGTACTTTGACGTCCATCCGTCTCCGTCATAGGACTCATTTGAAAGGGCTTGGTCCAAGGATTCCGTGCATACCCAAATTTTTTGGTTTTGCGCATGCACAGTGTCAAAAATTTGGTTTAACGCATGTGTGATGCTAACTTTTTTATTTATGAATATATTTCAATGAAACTTTATATGTAAACACTACGAATAAGTAAAATTAACGACGTTTTCAAAATGTTGTTTTGCGCATGCGCAATGGCAACTTTCTTATTTATGAAAGCAGTTAAACGAAATATCATATGCAGGCACCTTAAATGAAACAAACTAATACTGGTTTCAAAATTACTGTTAACGCATGCTGTATGTTTTATTTATGGAGGTATTGAATGAAATTTCTAATACAGACAATGCATAATGCTATTTACCAAAGCAGTTATAAAAATTTCCATATGTAGACA